GGGAGCCCTCGGGGCTTACAAGGAGAACACGGGCACAGGGAATTTGTACACGCCGCCAGGCCTGTTTTGGGCTCCCGCTCCCCAACACGCCCCGACAAGGACAAGGAAGGGTACTGCTCTCTGATGGCTGGGCTTGGCTAATGGCCAGATCTAATTTAGACTCCTCAGCAGACTCTCGCAGAGGAGGCTACCTCTTTGGAGCCCCATCCTCTCAAAACCAGGAAACAAATTAACAAGAGCTGGACACTTTAACCTGAAAGTGTCTTTAATCTTTAGACAGGCTCGTGTTTAGTGGCCCGCGTGCTCCTTCAGCCAGCTTGGCACATCTGCAGGCGTGCAGGGCTGCAGCTCTCCGGGCTGCCGGGTATTCCTGCCTGCTCGCCCCTGTTAGCAGGTGGATGCTGTGGCCTCCTCACGGCTGCCTGGGAATGAGGGCAGCCTCATTGCCAGTCTCAGGGTGTCCCAGCGCTCTGTTTTATAGATGCCTGAGAGGTGCAGAGATGCTGAGGTCTGTAGCGAGATGCGAGTAAAACCGAGGCTTTTCTGTCTAATCCCAGTTCTCTCTTCCACCAGGATAACCGCTTTTGATGGCAAAAGAGAAGCCCCCAAACACTCTCAGTCAGAAAATTGATGTGAAGCCATCCRCTGGCTTGTGCTGGCACCTGGAAGGGAAGGAAGCCAAGCCAGGGAGCAGCCAAGCGCCGCTCTTGCAATGCGCCGTTTCCCCTGCGCCGTCCCCAAAACTGATGCAAAGCGGGCAGCTTGTCACGCGCTTGCCGTGAGCTTGTTAGGGGCCCAGGCAACGCTGGAGTTTTGAGCTGTTCAGCGAGTTCCTGCCTCGCTCTTATTTACTGCTGTGGTGCCGGCGGCCAGGTAACTTTGCAGTGCCTTTTGCAGGGCTTCATCAAAGCGCAGCTCAAGGATTATCGCTGGTGTAAAGGACAGCCCACGCTCATGTGTGTAAACACTCCCCCGAGCGCCTTGCTACAAGGTTTGGAGGAGAAGTAATTATGTTAGATTTTGGTTTCAGCGGAGATCTGATAAGATTATATTGGATATATTTTCCTTTGAAAAGGCTGATGTGGTCCTTTACAAGCAATAAACCTAACACCTCTTCTTTGAGGCTGGGCTTTTTCCTAGGCATACACAGTTTGGTGGTAAAGCGCTTCCAAAGGAATGAGGGCATGTTTAGCTACTCCTGAGAAGCTCTGCTCGCAGAATTGCTTCCCCATGCCCTTCCCTGCCTCCCTAGGCATTTGGGGTGG